GGGCCCCCCCCCCCCCCCCACCTCGGTTTCGGTCAAATTAAACATAGACGGCAGCGTAAGAGGTATTGAGAAGGTGATTCATTCGCTGACATCACGCTTATGTAATACTTATGTAAGCGATTATGTCATGTTTATGTAATGCTTATGTAAGCGATTACATCATGATGATGTAATGCTTATGTAAGGAGTTGTAGAAGTTTGAATTTGTGTGTGTTAGGTGTGATTGAAGAAAATAAGGATATGGTAGGTTTGATTGATGGGTAAGATATGTAGTTGTGATGAGAGTAGTAGATTTGGAGTTTTAGTATAAATAGGGGATGTTGTATGGAGTTTTTCATATCAAGCTTTTCTAAACATTTCTAAGCATTTCTCTCTAAACACTTTTCTCTCTTTGTTTCCTTAACAAAGTTCTAAGCATAAGTGCTAAGAATCTTCAATATTTTCTCGTTTTTTTTCTTTGCACTATGCACTAAAGAAGAGAATATAAGAAGCTTGTGAATGACAATATAATACAAGCTTCGTAACATGGTATCAGAGCCAACTACAGTTCAAGGGACGACGCTGCACTAATCCAAGCACAAGGAAGAGCACAAGATCGAAGCACAAGACGCACCACGAAGCTCAACTTGCATGAAGAGCACTATGACGGTAAACATCCAAAACATTCAACCCGTTGCTATTTTCGATGGCCAAAATTATGAGTTATGGACCACGAGGATGAAGATGACATTGATGCTGAGAGATTATGGGATGTTGTCAAAAAAGATGTTCATGGGATCTCAAGAGCGAATCTAATTCCTAAGAGATCAGTTCTAAGGTTTGCGCAGCGGATATAAAACAAAAAAATTTGATGAAACCCTAAAACCTATCATGCATGATCTTGTAAAAACATTAGAACACTTACCTCAATCGATCCGTGGCCTGTATCAATTGATGTGTTCGTCCGATCACTGTATGGAGGAAGAATACCTCGTCCTCTACACGTATCCACACGGCGGAAAGGATTCCAACGGTTGGAACTCGTCTGCTAGGACTGAAGAACACTTTTTCTTTGCGCAAGGGTTTCAGGGATCTAACTCTTAGGTTTTTCACTCTCAAAATCTCCCCTTAGGGTCTGAAAGTCGTGCCAAGAGCATTAGGAGGCGTTTCTCAAAGTTAATCCCACTTAAAACCCTAATTAGAGCGAGTTTAGAAAATCCCGATGTCTGGACTGATCGGTCTGGAGCTTACGTCTGGACCGATCGGTCTGGAACAAATTCCGGATCAAGTGACTTTCACACGTTGCCTCCGGACCGACCGGTCCACGTGTCTGGACCGATCGGTCTGGGTTGGCTGGACCGATCGGTCCAGACCTTCTGGATCGGTCGGTCTGGCCTCTGCTCCACCGGAATTTTCTCGTCTCTTCTCGCGCATTTGTCATTTCCTGTGTGTGTGACCCTGTAGGCTCATTCGATATAGCAGTATAACCCGAAATCTTTTATTTCGGTTACACAAGTCATAGGCAGTCTTTAGCAAGACACTATGACTACCTATCTCGAATAGAGTTTGTTCGTGATCCTACGAATGCTGATGATGATTCCGTTTGATGATCCTTTTGTATCACGATATCATATGTCGAATATAAGGCATGGACAAGCCACCTTATCTGATTCGACTGCTTTCTCGTTCACTAAGTTCGACTGTCTCAAATAGACGACGTTCGTCTATAGTGCGGCCACACATTTCTACAGTCTCGCTCACACGAGGGGTCCAGCGATATCTCTCTCTTTTACGAGAGGTACAAATCCCATCTTGACTATCTACAATCCAGCACATGATTCGTTTCGTACCTGATACACGCCTTTATAGTCCTCCTGTTACGCTGGACGTTTGACGTATTTAAAGCACGCAACTCCTCATGTTGGATTCCGTAGATATCTCAGGTCTTAGGATCCAATCATGGAACCGCCATATGAGATTCAAGTCATGACGCTAGTCCATGTGACAATCTCATGTGGGTCAATCCAGTATTTCGTTCTCCAACGAATACCTATGACTGTGATCGTATCCAATACCTATGATCATCTATATGATCATCAATCACACATCATAATAGTCTTGGTATATCATTATTCCCACAATGATACATGACTAGGGAGTTTAATATTGTTCATAACAATACATGGATTTCATAACATATTTAAGTATGCAAAATATGTAATGAATGAAACACTAATCTATAAATCATAGAAAGCGTCAATACATCAAATGCATCCAAGTAAAGCTCGCAAACAGTACATCATAGAGCACTAAACCAACAAAATCAAGAGATGAAGCTCACAAAATGGAGAGAGATCAAGATGAAGGACATGACGGCCCTCCAACTTCTACAAAATTCTATCACAGATTTTGTCTTCCAGAAGGTGATAACGGCCACAACATCAAAGGAGGTGTGGTCCAAGTTGCAAGAAGTATATCAAGGTAATGAACGAGCCATACTTGTTCGATTACAATCTTTACATACTCAATTCGAAAATTTGAGAATGAAAGATGGTGAAAGAATAAGAGCATATACGGATAGAGTGATGGATATCACAAACCAAATGGAACAACTGGGAGAAGAGAAGAAAAAATTTGAAATCATAAGGAAGATCCTAACAACGATGTCAAAGTCATACGCAACTTTGGCAGCGTTGATGGAGGAGACGAAAGATTTAAGAAACATAAGTGTAACAGATCTGGTTGGATCTTTGATCGCACATGAAGCAAAGTTCCTACCGGATGAAGAAGAAAAATCAGAAGGAGCTTTTCCACCTCGATCAAAGAATCACAAAGGAGGTAACAAAGGTCTCTGGAGGTCTAATCCAAAAGGGGAGAAATGGTGTGGTTATTGCAAGTAAGATAATCACGCCGAGGAGGAGTGCTACTTCAAAAACAAGAAGGGCAAACAAGACCAACAAGTAAGGAGGACGAAGGAATGCTACACATGTGGAAAACCATGACATTTGGCTCGAGATTGCAGAAGGAATCAAAATCAATAGGCTCAAGTCACACAAACGGAAGGTATGGATGAGCAATTATTTACGGCGCGAGATGAAGCTATGATCGCCCAAGGGGAAGACATGTGGCTAATCGACAGTGGATGCACAAATCACATGTCCAAAGATATCCGATACTTCAAGAAGATAGACCGAGATATCAAGATCCATATCCGAGTAGGGAATGGAGTCGTAATCTTGACAGAAGGAAAAGGAGATATCGTGGTTAACACGAAGAAAGGTGCAAGAGCTATCAAGGATGTGTTCTATGTTCCAAAGTTGGACAAGAACCTACTCAACATTCCTCAAATGCTCCTAAACGGATACGAACTCAACTTCAAAGAAAGTAGTTGTGTGATTCGTGATCCTATGGGAAGAAAAATTACCGAAATACAAATGCAGAGGAAGATTTTTTCAATGCAACTTGTGAGACCAGGCGAGTCTTCCTATACAGTTAAAGAAGATTCGATGGCTCAACTGTGGCACCAAAGGCTTGGGCATAGTAGTAACTCATACATGCAAAAGTTACTACAGAAGAATATGGCGAAGGGAATCCCTAACTTGGCAACTACAATGAGGTGTGTGAAGCATGCCAATTAGGGAAATAATCAAGACTCGTGTTTCCATCATCTTCATCAAGAGCTTAGAAGAAACTAGAGCTAGTGCACTCGGATATATGCGGCCCGATACAAACATCTTCGCTTGATGGAAGCAAGTATTTCATACTCTTCATCGATGATTATTCGAGAATGACGTGGGTATACTTTCTGAAAAACAAGTCAGAAACATTTAGGGTGTTCAAGAAGTTTAAGGCTATGGTTGAGAACCAAGCTGAAGGAAAGATCAAAACACTCAGATCAGATCGAAGAGGAGAGTACGCATCGCAAGAGTTTGCTAGATTCTGCGAAAGTCAAGGTATCTCGAGGCAGTTCACGGTGGCATACTCTCCACAACAAAATGGAGTAAGTGAAAGGAAGAACCGAAGTGTCGACAGTTGTGTGCGCAGGAATGAAGAACAACTTCTGGGTGGAAGCGGTATACACTGCAGTATACCTGCAAAACAGACTATCTTCGACGGCATTGGAGAATACAACTCCGATTGAGACATGGACCGGACGTAAACACTCACTAAGTAAGTCATTTGAAAGTATTTGGGTGTCTGTGTTATGTCCATGTACCAGATGAAAGGCGATTAAAGCTGAAAGACAAAGCGGAGAAGTGCGTACTCATTGGGTACAGTAGACAAAGCAAAGGCTACAAAGTTTATTTGCTGGAGAAGCAAAGAGTTGGAGTTGCACGAGATGTCAAATTGATGAAAGTCAAATATGGGATTGGAGCAAGAGTTTAGAGAAATGAAAAGGTATAGCAATTCCTGCACCGGATTTCTATAAGGATTCGAATGGAGAATCAAGTGGCATCCACCAACACTGGTGAAGATACTCCAGAAGGGAGTTCAGCAGAACCTAGAAATCCGAAAACGGGATCTATGAAGGAGATACTTGAAGTCACTCCAAGAGTGTTGGACTATTCTGCAGACATGATGGAAGCATGTTTCATGTGTTCTGTAGAACCAACTAACTTTGAAGAGGTTGAAAGCTATCCAGAATGGAGAAAAGCGATGGAAGAAGAAATCAACATGATTGAGAAGAATAATACTTGGGAGTTGGTGGAAAGACCCGAGAAGAAGAAGGCTATCACTGTGAAGTGGATCTACAAACTTAAGACTGCAGCAGATGGATCCATACAAAGGTATAAGGCGAGGCTGATTGCAAGAGTGTTCAGTCATAAGTATGGTGAAGACTACACAGAGACATTTGCACTTGTGTCAAGGTACGATACCATCAGACTCATGCTTGCGATTGCAGCTAAAAAGAGGTGGACACTACATCACATGGATGTGAAGTCTGCATTCTTAATGGTGAACTTGAGGAGGAAGTATTTGTTGAGGCAACCTCAAGGATTTGAAATAGAAGGCAAAGAAGATAACGTGCTGAAACTAAAAAAAGTTTTGTACGGTTTAAAGCAAGCTCCAAGAGCGTGGTACAGTAAGATCGATGGATACTTTCTCAAATAAGGCTTTGAGAGATGTCCATACGAGGCGGCGGTATACATCAAAAGGCTTGGAGAGGATATACTCATCATCTCACTATATGTGGATGACATGATCATTACCGGGAGTAATGAGGAGAACATAGGAAGATTCAAGAAAGAAATGATGCACCATTTTGAGATGACAGACCTTGGCAAGATGGGGTGTTTCTTGGGCATGGAAATAAAGCAAAGTTCAGATGGAGTTTTCTTATCCCAAGGAGGCTATGCGAAGAAATTGTTGGAGAAGTTCAAGATGTTTGATTGTAAACCAGTCAATACACCAATTGAGCCGAATGGTAAGAACATTGATACGGAGGAGGAGAAAGAAACAGATACAAAAGAATATCGAAGCATGGTGGGAAGTCTGTTATACTTAACGACCATAAGACCGGATCTGATGTACACTGCAAGTTACCTTTCAAGATTCATGAGCAAACCGAAGATGACGCATTTCAAGCAAGCGAAGAGGGTATTGAGGTATGTCAAGGGAACCATTGATCTTGGCTTACATTTCAAACCCGAGAACACTATACTGTTGCAGGGATACTGTGATAGTGATTGGGTCGGAAGTCAAGATGATATGAAAAGCACAAGTGGTTATGTGTTCAAGATAGGAGGAACAATATTCTCATGGCTGACACAAAAGCAAGAGGTGATCGCACAATCAACGGCGGAAGCAGAATATATTTCAGCAGCAGCAGCGGTAAACCAAACCATATGGCTATGGAATCTACTTGATAGCTTGGGATGTGTAACGATCCGAGACCGTTACAGAATGATAGAGCTGTCCCCACACACCAACACGGGATCTTTTAGCGTGTTTTTGTCTTCACTCGCACACATCCCGGAAAGTACTTCCCAGGAGGTCACTCATCCTAATACTACTCCAAAGCGAGCATGCTTAACTTTGGAGTTCTTTTGATATGGGCAACCGAAAAGGTAGATGCATCTTGTTGCTATGAGTAGCTCAATTAATTCCTTTAAGTTATCTTAGACTGTGTAGTCTCATACCTATACAGCTCTCGGATCCCTCTCATTCCGGTGCGTCCGATTCATCCCTATACCCCCTACCTAGAAGCTCGTCAGGAACCGCTCATTGTCCATGCCTCTCGCACCGGCGATCACTCCCCGCCCTCCTATGGTATCATGGGTTGTCACAGGATGCAAGCAAGAGGGGAGCACACCGATCTTCTGTGACAATAGCTCAGCTATTGCCATTGGAAGAAACCCGGTTCAACATCGAAGGACTAAGCATATCAACATCAAGTATCATGTGGTTAGAGAAGCGGAACACAATGGAGTTATCAAACTCACATATGTCAAAGGAGATGAGCAACTGGCGGATATCTTCACAAAGGCATTAGGAGCTTCAAGATTCGAACAGTTGAAGAAGAAACTAGGGATGACGCGCAAATGAATCAAGGATGAGTATTGAGAAGGTGATTCATTCGCTGACGTCACGCTTGTGTAATACTTATGTAAGCGATTACATCATGATGATGTAATGCTTATATAAGGAGTTGTAGAAGTTTGAATTTGTGTGTGTTAGGTGGGATTGAAGAAAATAAAGATATGGTAGGTGTGATTGATGGGTGAGATGTGTGGTTGTGATGAGAGTACTAGGTTTGGAGTTTTAGTATAAATAGGAGGTGTTGTATGGAGTTTTTCATATCAAGTTTTCCTAAACATTTCTAAACATTTCTCTCTAAACACTTTTCTCTATTTTCTCTCTTTGTTACCTTAACAAAGTTATAAGCATAAATGTTAAGAATCTTCAATATTTTCTCGATGCACTAAAGAAGAGAATATAAGAAACTTGTGAATGACAATATAATACAAGCTTCGTAACAAGAGGCAGTCCAAGCTCGGCAGCGAAGGGTGGATTATTTCATGATCACTAGGGAAATTGGTTGGTTGGATTCACTTCCAATCTTGGTATTTGCTTGGTGAGAGCAGAAGCTTGGGGAGCCCTTCTCGGCTTACGAATGGCATGGGAGAAGAGATGGGAGAACGTGGAGGTTGAAGTTGACAATCAAGCCCTCGTAGAGACAATTTATAAAAGGCTCGTATTGCTGTAATATAATAACTATTAGAGTTCACTGTAAATATATTTTATTTATAATTTTTTGAATTTTTAATATTCGGTTCGACAATAATCGATCCAACAGGACCAAAACCAGGCCCATTAGGCCCAAAAGAGTTTTGGTGTCGTGTGTCAGCGACTGCCTCATCGTGGACCTCCCATTTTCTCTCGCATCTGTTTTGTTGTTTGATTGTTCTTCTCTTCTGTTTCTTCTGTGTCTCTGTCTTGCTCCTCCGTCGCCGTCGCTGATCCCGTTGCTCTATCTTCCGGTGAGTTTCTACCTAGATTCTTCCCCCTCCGAAATTGCTCGATTCGTTTCCTCGCCTTCGGTTTATGTGGATCTCGGATCTAGGGAGTGACGGATTCTAGGTCTTGTCCGGTTTTTGAGTATGCTTATACGTTTACTGTCTGTGTTTGATTATTCTTTTTCGACTTATTCTTGCTCTGATTTCAGCGATTCGATCGGTAGAAGCGTTCATCCAGATGGCTGGAGGAGGAATTATCCAGCAGCTTCTGAGGAGGAAACTTCATTCCCCTTCAGTTGTGAGATTTTTCAGCCCTCTCTTTTGTCTGTTAGATTACGGTTTAGTCATTTCTGTTTTGATTTCGATTTCGATTTGAATGGAAGCCATAGAAGTTTAGGATCTGTTTGGGATAAAACTCTTAGATTTCTTTTGGGGGTTTTAGCTTCTTGTGATCGTTGGTGCTTGGGAATTCACATTAGCTTATGATGACGAGAAAACCGGTCCTTGAAACTTCCTGCCATGTGTATTTCATTGGTTCGTATGCCATTACCGGTCTCAATTTTCGAGTGAACAGATGAACTTTCCTTCTGTGGACGTTTTTTGGTTATTCGGCAAATATAATTTTTGTTCAAATAACATACAATCATCTAAAGCTCTGAGTTGTTGTTTCTTGCAGGCAGCTCCAGTCTTGTCATGGTTTTCTTCGAAGAAAGCTCAAGAGGATGCTGGGTCTGCTGGTGTTAGGGCTCTGGCACTGGTGGGTGCTGGTGTGACAGGATTATTGAGCTTTTCATCAGTAGCATCCGCTGATGAGGCTGAACATGGCTTGGAGTCTCCAAACTACCCTTGGCCCCATGATGGCATCCTAAGCTCCTATGATCATGCTTCGTGAGTCTTGATCTCCAATTATATACATGCTACTATTCTACATGTCTTGGCACAGCAAGTTATAGTCGTAGATATTCCGTGGCTATATAATGAATGCTTTCCGGCTCTTCTGCATACGTCGGACTGTAACCCTCCGTCTGGCGTAACATCATCGACAACAACAATGACAACATGGCCTCATTCCCAAGTTCATTTGGGGTCGGCCGCATGAATCCTTCTTTTCCACTCATTTCGATCCCGTGTTAACTCTTTCGGGATCTGCAACACTTCCAAATCGTTTCTAATCACACGTTCTCAAGTGAGTCTAGGTCTACCTCTTCCTTTCCTTTTCATCCCTATTCCTATACTCTCCACTTTTCTAATCGACGCGTCTAACGGCCTACGTTGTATATGTCCAAACCATTTTCAATGTCCCTCCCGCACCTTCTCTTCGATGCCTATTACTCCTATTTTCTTTCTAATACTCTCATTTCTAATTCTATCTATCCTTGTGTATCCGCACATCCATCTCAACATCCTCATCTCGACCACACTCATCTTTGACATATGTTGTCCTTTCGCCGTCCAACATTCGCTGTCATACAACAATGCGAGTCTTATGGCAGTACGGTAGAATTTTCCTTTCAACCGTAAGGGAACCTTACGATTACAAAGAACCCCTGTGGCTTGTCTCCATTTTATCCATCCCGCTTTTATTCTATGGCTAACATCTTTGTCGCAACCCCCATCATTTTGGAGGATTGACCCAAGATATTTAAAATGTGGGTTTTGAGGAATTGATCCTCCTTGCAGGATCACTCCCAAATCACTAGAACGTTTGCCACTGAAGTCACAATGCATGTACTCAGTCTTCGTCCTACTAAGTCTAAAACCCTTAGTCTCTAATGTACTCCTCCATAACTCTAACAGTCCATTTACTCCTTCTTTGGACTCGTCTATTAGCACGATGTCGTCCGCAAACATCATGCACCACGGTACTTCTTTCTGTATACCTCTAGTCAGTTCATCCATGACTAATGCAAAGAGGTATGGACTTAGAGCGGACCTTTGGTGCAACCCTATCGAGATGGGAAAATCTCGCGTGTCACCCCCTGTTGTTCGGACACGAGTAGTCGCACCATCATACATGTCCTTCAATACTTGTATATATCTTACCGATATTCTCCTACGCTCTAACACCTCTCCGTCTGGCGTAACATATTTGCAAATAATATACTGTCTGATTTTAACATTCAGAGCTTGATGTTCTATGATCAGGATCCGACGTGGGCATCAAGTTTACCAGCAAGTCTGTGCATCTTGTCACTCAATGTCTCTGATCTCATATCGAGATTTGGTGGGTGTTGCCTACACGGAGGAAGAAGTAAAAGCAATGGCAGCTGAAATCGAGGTTGAAGATGGACCTAACGATGAGGGTGAAATGTTCTCCCGTCCTGGTAAACTAAGTGACCGATTTCCCCAGCCATACTCAAACGAGGCAGCTGCAAGGTTTGCCAATGGAGGAGCGTATCCTCCAGATCTAAGTCTTATAACCAAGGTATGACTTGTTCACAAAAACCGTATATCTGTAGAATATTTTTTTTATCTGTGTTCTAAAAAGTCTTGCTTTTCTGTCTACCAGGCACGCCACAATGGCCAGAATTATGTCTTTGCTCTTCTGACTGGTTACCGTGATCCTCCTGCTGGCGTTTCGGTAAATTCAATCTCTTCCATCTCCCTTGTGCATTGAACCTCTTTCGACTTTTCTTGATTTTGAATCAATCCTTTGGCAATGGTACAGATAAGAGAGGGTTTGCACTACAATCCTTATTTCCCTGGGGGAGCAATCGCTATGCCGAAGATGCTCAATGATGAAGCTGTGGAGTATGAGGATGGAACCCCTGCCACCGAAGCTCAGGTTAGTAGTTTTCTTTTACTGAGGAAAGTATTCTAATCAAAGGTTCTACTTTGATTTTTACCTTATTCTTGTTCATTATCGTAACTGCTCAATCAATCTTGGGGCAGATGGGTAAAGACGTTGTTTCGTTCTTGGCCTGGGCAGCTGAACCAGAAATGGAAGAAAGGAAATTGGTAGGCTCATCCCTTCGTACGCGTTTGTTATGATTCCCCTTTGTGTCGGGTTAATGGTGCATATATATATATATATATATATATTCACTATATTCACACACACGCACACAATAAACACTGAACCTGAAAAACCTGGCTCTTGTGTCCTTTGGGAGGCCAAATGTCTGAAAACGACATACGAATCCACACACACACGCACAATCATATATATGTATATATGCTACTATAGCTTTTACTTGATCTGCTACTCCGTCATATCTTGTTCATTGTCCCTCCTGAAAATCACAAGAATTCCGTCGACCCATTTTTAAAACCTTGCCAGTTTACTGAGTAGTAGTTCATTTTTTGTAAATTTTTCAGCCGGGTTTCCCCCGCTAACTGTTGGTTTAACCGAATGCAGATGGGTTTCAAGTGGATATTCCTACTGTCGCTCGCACTGCTCCAAGCAGCTTACTACAGGCGGCTCAAGTGGTCGGTTCTCAAGTCCCGCAAGCTCGTCCTCGACGTAGTGAACTAAAATAAAAAGCAAAAGCTGCAAGAAGTGAGAGAGCTTGTCCTGTTATCCATTCGTAGAAGAGACTGTTTTCTCAGGTAAAATAATAAAACATGGTATCATCCCATTTTGTCTCTGTGTCAAATCCCATGGACCGACCAAACCAGTCTTTTGCTGGAAGCTGCAAAGAGCTGTTTTTCCTTCAGTCAGTTATATGAGGGGAAAAAGAGAGAACAAAAAGCTTTTTCGCCTCATATAAGCACACATGATTTTGATTATTGTGTTATTATACTCACACACATTGATTTTGTCGTGTTTCCTTGTTCTTCTCGGCTTGTCTCAATAAAGGAAGTATTTCTTCAGCTGGATTTAACGAATACGCAATATAATAGAAGTACGTTTGAATAAATTACTTCTCTTTAGTGGGAACTAGGGTGGACAAAGGTTGGATTCCATAACCATTTATTCGATTACGGTAAATTTGAATGTTTTTTTATTTCTATTTTTGAAAACTTATAACTAAAGCGGTTATTTGGTTGTAATAGGTTTGGTTAAGGTTATGTCTAATTAAAATTATAATTAAATAATAACTAAATAAAAATTCAGTATAATAGTAAGCGAAATAAATTTCGAAATATTGTGAATGTTTTCTAATGATTTGACTTTGTTATATATCATCGTTAGAAATTAGATATAAAATGTATTGTTGATAGAAAAAACTGTTATTTTCAGTTTACAGTTAATTCGGTTTGGCTTTATTCACTCGACCATTTACCATCCGTCGAAAATAATGCCCCGATGGTATAATGGCCCAAATTTAGACCCATCTATATTAATGTTAGCCCATACCAGACCCATTTAAAATCCAATAAATTTGCCTGAGAATGGCCATTGTGAACCAACAAAAGTCCGTTAAAGCCATAATTAAAATGCTCGGCATGCCCTCGTCGCGCGTGTGCCATGGGCCTGGATTACATCTTTAGGCAATTGGAAATTGGGCCGTATTTCAGACCCATTTAAATTTAATTGATATGTTGTACCCACCCTGCCCGGACTCAAGTATTTTGAACCCATAAAAAAAACGGGTCAAACGAGTCAATCCGTCGCGAGCCGAATTTGTGGCGAGCCAGCTCGTCACGAGTCAGACTGGTTCACACCGAGGGGCAAAAAAATATTTATTTTTTAAAATTTGAATATTCTTATATATTTTATATATACAAATTATATTTTTATTACAATTTAGTTTATTTTGTTTAAGATTTTAATTTTTTTTATTATATTTTAAATATTTTAAATATTAAAACTATTTTTAAACATTTTTTAGTATTAAAATTTTATTTTTAAAATTTATATATTTTGTTCGTGGATCGACTCGTTTAGTTCGTGAGCTCAGATGATGTGGATTAGACTGGTCTATTTTTAGCTCGCTAAAAAAGGGCTAGACTGACTGACCTGAAAATTTTCTAAATTGAAACGAATTGGATTGGACCGGATTGGACCAGACGTTTTAGATCCCTGTACCCAACGTGGATAGCGATTGAAGACGAAAAAATAAATTACGGCAATTATTTTTCGTCAACGGATTTAAACACATAGGGAAAAGATAAAGTTCCCAGTAAACCATATTCCGCCACGTGTTCACCTTCTCCGACCTAATTCCCCTCCACGATCAGAGACCAAAATTACATTTTCATCATCGTTTTGATGTTTCAATTTGTGAGGGTTAAAAAAAAAACAATTTGGACACGACTAAACAAAATCTGAATTTGGAAACTTGGTAGCAATTTATGATAAAAAAAATATTGTTAAAAAAGAAATATACATCATTTTTAGGGTATCGGCCGATCCGTCTTGAATCCACACTCAATCCGAAAGTTTCGAGTTTGAGTTCAGACAGACTCAAATATTTTCATATCTATAAAACCAAATCGAAACCAGATCGTATAAGATTTGGGTTCGAACTCGGCCAGCCCGGACTGTTTCATTAGAATCATTTCTTTTGTTTTTGTTTTATTTGAATTTGAATTATTTTTTACATTTTTAAAATTGATTTTTCAGACCAGTCTAAAACTCGTCGGGTTTAATTTGATCACATCGGGTTTAATTTGACCACATCGGAAGGTCTATTTGAGCCGGTTCGAAAATCTGAATTTTTTCGGAACAATAAATTCAAATCTGAACCCGATCATTTTTCGGATGGACTTGGGTCGGGTTTCGGCCTCGGGACAAAAATGACATCTCTAATCATTTTCCGAAATCTAGCATAGGCAATAAAAACTACGAACATAAAAACGATTTGAGACAACCCTAACAATGTAGTACATGTGTAGTTAGTGTGTACTATATGAGAAATATTAAATTTTGGGTGCAAAAAAGTCTGTAAACAATTAAATATGTCATCTTTTTTTTTTAGACTATCATGAATAGAACATCTTAAAAGTTCATAATTTCATTTGCCTAGTTTTTAAAAATAATTAATTTGAACAACACCCTCCCTAAAGAGGAAGAATCTGAAATTGAATAAAAGAACTACGTTTCACCCTATCGCCATAATTAAAAAAATATAAAATATCATAGCAATCCGTACAAAACAAAAACATTACAACAACGCTAAACATGTAAGTATATATATATGTGCGATGTCTACTGATCTTATCTTGAATTGAGTAAAGCACATGTCCAACCATAACACGCAGGCATATCTATTCAGTTAAACCTACACACGCATATACATATACATACATATATATATATATATATATGTATGTTTGATGTAACAGCTTTTGAAGATAATGGAGGACACTTCATGCAATTTCATTGGTCGAATCGCTCAAAACTAGTCAGAGGCTTGAAATAGGTAAAGACCAGATGCTATTAGCCTCTCATGTGGGTCCCATATTCACAATTTTACTTACCAATTATATATATATATATATATATATATAGTACCGATATATAATATTCACAACGGTGTGCAATTGGAAAAGAAATAAATATGTAACAGGTTGCTTTGGTCTAAGACTATAAATTCGACACATGTGATCAATCTCCGCTTATAATTTCATTCTACTATTTTAATTTAATATGTACTCTTTCCGTTTAAAAATATTTGTAGTTTTAGATTATTATCCATGTTTCAAAATATTTGTCATTTTATATTTCCAATACATTTTTTAAAAATAATTTCCAATTTTATCCTTACCAAATTCCAATACATTATTAATGATAATATTGTTTTTATTATTAAATAAATGGTATATATGACTTTTATTTTCATTTCTTAAAAAATGTGAAATAAGTTAAAACAACAAACATTTTGAAACGGAAACATTTTGAAACGGAGGGAGTATATTTTTCCAATTAATGTTTTTACATATAATATGTGTAACAACCTAATGATATTAGCCCATATAACTTGCATTTACTAATTGGCCCCGTCAAATATTATTTTTCGCATTTAAATGCATCTCTATGGTGTGTATGTGTCATGTTATAATGATAAATACTCATGCTCTATCACATTATATGTAAAGCCAATGTTATATATATTTTTGAATTGCCATTATATTATGACAGGCACTAGCACCGTAGGTCCATCTGTAGATACATATATTAATTTTTTGAAAACCATATCCAACCGAACCAAAATGAAGTATATACAAACGAAATATAAAGGTAATATAGGAATTTAAACATATAGTATGGACCGTGGAAGATATATATATATATTATAATGTATAATCATAATTATGATACTAATATTTGAAAAAGACTTTTGCCAGAAAACCTGGGAATTAGCCATAATCGTGAAAAAAGGACGATTTTCTTGAAACGAGAGATTTAAAAACAAAAAAGAACGGTATAGAGATATATATATGGTGTAACGATGACATTGGACATCGACAGAACGCTCCAATGATTCAACCGTATCTTATGCTTTGCCCTAGACACGTGGCGCTTTGCCATTCGATCAATCTCCCGTTGTCCCCGTTTGATTTATCTCTTCGGCTCACCGGATAGACATAGAAAGGCTAGAGAGAGAGAGAGTGATAGAAACAGATGAGCTGTGGCGCACGCTAAGATGCGCCCCGAAATGGCGCAGGATAAGTCCACCGTCGACACCTTCATGCTCCGGTATCGTCCGATCGCTCCGAAGCCGATGACCGGTCAACCATGCGCCGGAGACAGCAGCAAATCATACGGTACGAGCAAAAGAACAAAGAGAAAATACGTTAGGGTTTCGAAGAATAATAAGAATAACTGTAGAAGAAAAGACAGATCTGAAGCATCTGATCTGGAGAATGACACATACCTCGCCGGAGATATCGTAACGCTTCAGCTCCTTCCGCAGAAATCCGATCAGAACGAAGAATCTACGCCGTTGGGCTCGGAGAATCTCGATCCGACGGTGGAAACGATAACTGGGGAGAAATCCCACATGATGGGAACGTGGGTCATCGTCGACGGCGGTGCTCCGGTGGATCCGAAGGGCGAGATGCGGCGGATGACGGTAGTAGAGACATGGGTGACGGTGGAATCCGTCACCGGAGCATACGACGACGGTGGTTTGAGTTCCCATGCTTTGGGATGTACGGACGTGGAGATTGTGGAGATCTTAGATAAGGACACGTGTCCATGGTTCATATCCGACGGCTCAAACCGCGTCATGTGGGTAAACGACGCTTACCGGAGGAATATCGTCGGCGGAGGAGAGTCGCCGGAGGTGGTGGTGCGGCTGGCGACGGACGAGACGGCGCCGTTTCGTGGATACCGGAGA